AAACTCAGTAAAATATTCTAAAAGAGTCCAGTAGCCCATAATAGTATGGGGTCTTCCGCTTGACTGGCAATGTCAGAAATTGTTGACCTGAGTCCCCTATAGCTCAACATAAGAGCATGGCTTTACTTCTTATATTTCATTTTTATACTTTTCTGCTGGATGGTTAAGACCAAGGAAAAGCAGGACCTATGCAACAAGAGTTGTAGCTTTTGTGTTTGATAAGGTCAGTCAAATACCCTCCGGATTTATCCTGAGATCCTGTACCTCAGATTGTAGAATCTTTGTCAGTGTCGGCGATGTAGATGAGTCACGGCCATTGCTTGGCTAATGTGCTCTCCGTGAAAGCCTGAGAGAATGTTTTCTCTCCATGTGAGTCTCCTTAGGCATACTCTACATCATCGATCACTTTCCTCTTTGGCCCCATAATCTTCTTGATCAGAAAATTTGGGACACTACCGAGTTACATGACGTTACAGTACAAGTTCTCATACATCCTGAGTCTTAACTGACCTTAGAAGGCTGGGGCCAAAATGTTGGCTTTCCTTGCGGCCCTCCTTTTTCTCTAATTTTGGTCTGCAAACTTAGGTTGTTAACCATCTAGAAGACAAACTTATTGTTATTACCATACAACTTAGGCTGCTAAGCTTAACCTCACTATCTGTCTGCATATCAAACATCTTAGGCATAACATGGAACAGGTATTTTTCATCAAGTATTGATATGTTGAACTTTAAGTTCACACAGAAGATGATAAAAAAATCTAAAAATTAGAATATATTTAAAAAATAGGCATAAAGAATTATATACTTCTTATGTTTACACATAAGTCAAAAAATCTAACCATATACAACCTTGAAGCAAGACAGTCCCACAATATTCCTTTTCTTGTCTCTTGCCTCCATTCATCACCCACTTCTTTTTGAATAGTCATCTACCCAACAGACAGCACAGCAGCAACTGGCATGTCATGATAAGCAGCCCGTATTCAGAAGACCAGAATGAGAGGCACTCCAAGCATGAAGCTACTATTACAGATTACCACCTGCAGTGCAGTTGCTTAGTTCACAGTTATCAGTATATATAGTTAGGGTGAGAATCTTTCCAATTAACTGCTAGATTCAAAAATCTTCTGGAGATTCTCAGGATCATTGCGTTGCCCATCTTCTACATATTACTGTATGGCTTGACATTGTCATGTTTCTTAGCTTTTCTCCTTTCCCTCTCTTGATTAGTTAGTCCTCGAGATCCTGCTTTCCTTTTACTTGTATTATACAATTTCTGACATTGCCAGTCAAGCGGAAGACTCAATACTATTATGGGCTACTGGACTCTTTTAGAATATTTTGCTGAGTTTACACACCTATAATATTCAAATAACAGAACTTAACAAAAAAAGGGGATACAGATGAATGTCCATTTTGTATCTGTGTATTCAGAGTGGTTAGGATAGATATATGGTTACATTCTCTTAATGAATAAGGGGATTTGTTCTAATGGTGTTTGTAAACAGGATATCATGTCTGCATCTTGTACAGCCATTAATCAGTAGAAAGAATGTACGCAGTGTGTTAATTATTGGAACTGTCCTACCAATTTGGTTTGAAACTGTCTCATTGCTATTCGTTTCTCAATAAAATTATGGAAAAAAATGAATGAATAAATACGTACTGCTTGTCATGACATACCATTATTGCCATACTGTCTCTCAAGTAAATATTTGTTTTTTTAAAAGGATAATAAATGAGAAAAGAGACAAGAAAAAAAATCACAGGACTGTCCTGCTACAATGCTGTGTATCATTAGACTTCTAAATTTCTGTGTAAAAATATGTAATTGTTTATTCATATTTTCAAACTTTTTTATTTTTTAATTTTTTTTCTTTATATTCTATAGGGACTTAAAGTTTAACATATCAATACTTTTGGAAAATACCTGTTCCTTATTATGCCTAACATGTTTGATATTCAGACAGATAGTTAGGTTAAACCCAACCACATATGTTGTAGGATAATAATAAGCTTCTCTTCTGGAAGGTTAACAACCTAAGTTTGCAGCCCAAAAATTAGAGAAAACGAAGGGCTTCAAGGACAGCCAACATTTTGGCCCTAGCTTTTCCAGGTAAGTGAAGACTCAGGATATAGGAAAACCTGTACTGTAACATCATGTAACTCAGTTGTGTCCCAAATTTTCTGATCAAGGAGATTATGTGGCGAAAGAAGAAAGTGATCAATGATGCAGAGTGTGCCTAAGGAGAATCACATGGAGAGAAAACATTCTCTCAGGTTTTCACAGAGAGCAAATTGGTCAAGCAATTGCTGTGACTCATCCACATGGCTGACACTGACAAAGGATCTACAAACTGCAGTACAGAGTTTCAGGATAAATCCTGAAGTGACTTGACTTACCTTATCAGATACAAAAGTTGCATTTCTTATTATATTAAGTCTTGCTTTATTGTGGTCTTAACCATCCAGCAGAAAGGTAAAAAAGAACAAGGTACAATGGGTGAAGCCATGTTGTTATGCTAGGCTGTAAAGGGCCCAAGTCAACAACTTCTGACACTGCCAATCCTGCGGATGACCCACTACTATTATGAACTACTGGACTATATTGGAGTATTCTGCTGAATTCCCTCACCTACAATATTTAAATGACAATGGAATACCCTTCTCTGACAAAAGTGAAAAAAAGGGGGATACAAATGAATGACCATTTTGTATCTGTATATACAAAACGGTCTGGATAGATATAAAGATATTTTTTCTTAGCTCATTGAGAAGAAAGATTTATACTAATAGTGTTTGGACAGGATATTATGTCAGCATCTTGTACATGAATAACCACTAAGAAGATAACAATATGTAACTTATTAACTATTGAAACTCTCCTACTAATCAGTTTTGAAATTGTCTCATTGCTGTTTCTCAATAAAATTAAAAAAAATATATACGATTTTATCATCTTCATCACTGATAGTATCTTGGCACTTAATGTGTCATCTGCCCCTGATGATCCACATTTTTTTTTCTTTTCTGTATTTTAAGGAAGGGTCTATAGGGTGTTCAGGGTCTCACTACTAGATTGGACTTATAGTGATCCACCTGTTTACAGCCTCCCAAGAGCTGGGATTACAGGTGCCTGCCACAATGCCCGGTCTCAATTGCTATCTCAGTGCACCTTGGGGGCAGTGCTGGCATGGCAGGCCCGGGGATCAGATCCCAGGCCCTTGTACCTGCTTGCAGGCACTTTAATCCGCTGAGCTATTTGACTGGCCCTGATATTCACATTTTTAACCTGAGTGATTTAATCACTAAACTCAAGAAATGACATATTTTTCAGAGCCATCTTGACTTAAGTGGTAAGTTTGAAAAAAAATTGCTTATATAGGAAATACCTCCGTGTTGAAATAGCTTTACCACATACATGTCTTTGTCCCTGCTATGGAAAAGATTTCAGAGGCACAGTCAAGACAGAGGGAAGAAAAAGATATCTAAGAAGCAATATTCTTTCCAAGAGTAAGTGTTTCATGCTTTTTTTTTTTTTTTTTTTGGAACTGAGGATTGAACTCAGGCCCTTGCGCTTGCCAGGCCAGTGCTTATTCTACTGAGCCATCTCTCCGGTCCAAAAGTATAAGTGTTAAATATTGACGTTCACATAAAATGTTTGTTTCATTTTCTGTAGGGTTTAATTTTCATACATGCAACAATGTCTGTCTCCAAGAAAATGCACTGATCCCTGTGGTATTGTTAAAGGTCTGCCTATCACAGCACAAACACTGTCCACCTGCCTGATTCTTTATAACAACAGAATCTTCTGCCTTATACAGGGACATGGAATGTAATTTTCTGGCTGAGAAACACTTACATAGGCACAATTCCCAATGTCCTTGGCGAAGATTTTGAGGGGAATGCTCTTCGGGTAGTCCTTTTCTTTCTCTAGATTGATGTATCTAATCAAATGCAACAACAACCCAAAACAACACTGAGTCAGATGGTATTCACTAATGGTTTATTTTTAAAATCAATCTCTTCTATTAATATTTTAAATATATGTATATGCTATTTTTAAAGATGTCAAGGACTCAGCAAAGTCAGATTATATTATGGGTTGAAAAAAATAAAACATTTCAGGACATTAGGCATGGACACAGGGAAGAATGGGACTTCCATGTCAAGTAAGGGTCAAGTAACACAGTTAGGCTAAAGCACCTCTGGGTGACATCCTACCCTTAATGTCTACCACCTCTGAGTAAGTCTGAATAAGTCTGGAACCTTGATGGCAAGTACAAGAGCACTTATAGTTCTTTACAAGGCAAAACAACAACTGCCTTTTTCTTCTCTCATTTTGCTCTCCAGTAAAGTGTAAGTGTTGGTTTTCCCCTATTTGTGGGGATGTTGTAGGTCTAACCAGTGAGTCTACATTGGCCATTTTAGTCTACAGGATGATCAATAGGGATAATTATTGAGTTCTGAGAGGTGCTGTGTGAAAAACCTTGTATTTATGAAAACAATACATATTATGAAGAACCTGTTAACTCCTGTTAGCTCCAAACTGTAGCTTGAAACAACAGAAAGAGATTACTAATTTCTGTCTATAATGACCTAAGTAGATCTTAATGTTCTCTTTCCTAGAAAGAAGAAATACTTATAATGAGAGAACATTATTTACAGAAAGTAACAGGGTGTATACAAGCTTTGTACAGCCTATATTGAGAACAAAGGGACAGTTTCCACTAGGAAAGGGAATACTTTGGGGTACATCTCTGCAGAAAAGTTTTTAGTTCTTTTATTGGCAATTAAAGATTAAATGTAAGCATATTGAAAAATACCTCTGAAGGAGAAAGAGCCATTTGTCCTTTTGTTCTGGAGAACTGCAGTAAAAGAAAACAGAAGATAAAAATTAAACCACATAAAACATCTATGGTTACATTTTAAAGATTTCCAATCCACATGAAAATATTAACAATGGGCCAGGGAGATAGCTCAGTAGAATAAGCGTTTGCTTGGCAAGTGTAGGGTCTTTGGTTCAATCCCCAGTAGCAAAAAAAAAAAAAAAAAAAAAAAGAAAATGCTAACAGCATGTTGTTACTGATACAGTTGTGGGTGTGAGCTGCAACAGGACTGGTGTTCTGGAAAGCTCAAGGGTAAAAAGGTCCCTTTGGAAAAGCTACAAAATCAAGTGCAGTTTTATTAAATCCTTTGGATGAATCTGAGGCAGACTCACTTTTATACCTTGCTGCTCCTTTACAAATGGCATTAAAACTATGAGAGATCGCTCTTACAGTGTGAAGCGTACTTGATTTGAATTCATATACCTGATTCCAAAACTATATGCAAGGTAGATAATGGAAAAGTCACTTAACCTAAGCCTTCACTACCTGCAAAACTGGGTTAATTTTTTTCAGTGTTTTCTCTGCTTAAAGTGCCATATAATTAGAAAAATATGCTTAATATTGAGATGAAAAAGAAATGTCATGTGCATAAAAGTATCTTGGCCCAGAAACTAGCTTGTTGTCAGGAAAAGAAATGTTTATTTATTTATTTATTGTGGTACCAGGGACTGAACTCAGGACCCTGTGCTTGCCAGGCAGGTGCTTATTCTCTTGAGATATCTCGCCGGCCCCCAAGAAATGTTTATTTTTATTTTTTTAAATTAAAAAAATTTTATTTGGTACAGGGTCTCACTACACAGTGCAGACTCGTAGTGGTCTTCCTGTCTCAGCCACCCCAGCACTGAGATTATAGTCATGCACCGCAATGTCTGGTTTTGGGGGCTTCCACATTGCACCCAGGTTCCAGAGTCAGCATGGCCTTTGGTACCAGGGATCGAACCTGGGTCCTTGTGCTTGCCAGGCAGGTGCTTAGACTGCTGAGTTATCTCCCTAGCCCCAAGAAACCTTTAAATACATAAACTACAACTTTAACACAGTAAAAGCTCACAGAAAAATTTACTATAATCTTCTAATTGAGATAAATTTACAATGAGATTAACTACCAATAATGTTTCTGCTGCTGGCACTGTTGCCTTTAATTCTTTAAAGGCTAAAAATAATCTCAAGTAAATTCCTATATAATCTCTTTTTTCTGAGACAGAGTCTCATTGTGTAATTCAGGCTGGCCTTGAACTCATTATGTAGCCCAGGCTGGCCTCAAATTCACCAAGATTCTGCCTCAGCCTCCCAAGTGCTGGGATTACAGGAATTCACCACTCTGTCTTCCTGTATAATCCTTCTATTCACAAACCTTAAAATCATATTTCTAGAAACTGAAAACATGTTCCAGAAAAATACACTTAATAAATATTTGTAATTTGTTTCTAACTTTATTATTATTATTTTTAATGTATTTGGTACAGGATTTTTGACTATGCAGCTCAGACTCGTAGTGATCCTCCTGTTTTCAGCCTCACCAGCATGTTTCTAACTTTATTGCTAGGAAATTTTCTCCATAATCTTCCAAGGTTGATCATTAGAAAAAAAAACCATACAATTTCTATCTTTCACAATTCCTATCTTTCGGTATATTCTTTTTTCAAAAACAGATTGTCTAGGTTAATGCCAAATGTTCAATTTACTTAGCATAAGTCTACACTGGAAAATAGATGTTTTCTTCAGACCCATTGGAACATGCCTTCTGGGCACTTGTCCCCACTGTTTTGCTTTCCAGAAACCTAGGAGAGTTTTGCTTGTTCAGGAACTTTACACAAATATATTTTGTGTCTGTTAAAAGTTGTATAGCTATACAATGTTCGTTGTTTGAGTGTATAGCACATGCTACTTCAAACAAACTACTTATGACTGTGTCAGTTAAATGTGTGGATATTCATTTGTGCAATCTTCTTGTATTTTTCCTTCCTCTTTAAGAAGAATCCAGGACTCCCCATTCCTTAGTTCTTTTTAGTCACAGGCATTTTCACAGGACTAATACCAGAAGCACTTCAAAGTCAATGCATTTCTCAGGGTTTCATAGAACATTTAAAAAGACAGTAAGATTAAGGGGAGAGTAATGTGTATATCTAGGCAAAAGTTGAAGGTTGAGGCAGATCGGAAGATTCTTTTAAATTATAGGAGTAGCGAGGTCTGTGGTCCCTCAGTGTGAGCTGAGTTCCGCATTATTAGTTCAGATAACCTAAGGAAATGAAACTCAAAGAGGCTGCGTCCTAGGCACCGAGGCTTTTGTATCAGAAAAGGTATTTGTCCTGCACTTGTGGTAAGAAATTAGAATATCTCCAAAATGTGAAGAGGTAACTCTGGACACAGAAAAAGACAACACTAGAGGTGATCACAACAGGACGAATACTAGTGCTTTTTTTTTTTTTTTCTGTTTTGGAGGCATTTCAGCAGTGTCCTGTTATTCTGGTTCTACCTTAAGTAATAAGGGTTCCAATAGAGAAGAAAATCTGATTTCCTACTAGGCTAGCAAAATGGGAGCTTAAGATGAATTTTAAATTGATATACAGGACTGGGGAGACAGCTCAGCAGACTTAGCGTCTGCCTGGCAAGTGCAAGGATCTGGTTCGATACCTGGTACCACATGCCGTGCCAGCCCTGCCCTGTGCCAGCCACTAAAACCAGGTGTGGTGGTGCACACCTGTAATCCTAGCACTGGGGAAGCTAAGACAGGAGGATCACTATGAGTCTGAGCTGCATAGTAAGACCCTGTACCAAATACATAAATTAAAAAAAAATCTAAAACTACGATCCTGTAGTCTAAGACTACAGTAACTATAGGAATCTTAAGATATTTAGTTAAAATATTATTCTCATTGTCAGATTTATATAATTCTTTTGTCTTTTAAGCAATATTCTAAATATATCATGTTGTTATTTGTAAAATCAGATACAGCACCTGTTTTTCTGGTAATCAAAGAGCTCTAGGTTTGTAAATCAAACAGAATACATGTAGTGGCAGAGATCCTCTGGCTCTGTATGAGATCTTGCTATCTAACCTGCTTCCCAATGTAAAGCATGGAAAATACACAATGTTGCTCTTTTCCCAGTTTGACTCAACTGGAAATTTCTTATACATTTTGGTCATTGTCAGTCTTAAGATTTCAATGCTGTAAGCTTTTTTTGTTTGAATTTTTGAGATGAGGTTTCACTGCACAGTTCAGGCTATCTTTAAGCTCTCTATGTAGCCCAGGCTGGCCTTTTAACTTGTCTTGATTCTCCTGCCTCAGCCTCTCGAGTGCTGGGATGCACCACCATGTCTGGCAATGCAATTAGCTACTTATTTTTTGTTTCTTTATAAATAGTTTACTAACTGGGAAGAACATGTTTCTTTAGTGCTAGCCAAATTTAAAGCTGCTCATGAAATATATATATTTTTTCCTCCCACAATGGTCTTAATCCCATCCTAAGATCCATGTCACTTCAGTTTTTAAAGTTTCTACTAACTTATTTTTAGAGAAACTGTCTTCTGGAAATACATATATATTTTTAAGTCTTTATTTTTGAAAAAATATTTCAGAATATTATACTCTAGGCCAGCCAAATAGCTCAGAGGATTAAAGCACCTCCAAGCAGGTGCAGGGGTCAGGGGTCCAATCCCTGGGCTTGATGTGCTGGCCCTGCCCCTGAGGCACAATGAGACAGCAATTGATTTTTTTTTGGAACTGGGGGTTGAACTCAGGCCCTTGCGCTGGCCAGGAAAGCGCTTATTCTACTGAGCTATCTCCCTGGCCCTGAGACAGCAATTAAGACTGGACGTGGTGGTGCGCGCCTATAATCCTAGCACTTGTGAGACTGTAAACAGGAGAATCACTGCGATTCTGATCTAGTAGTGAGATGCTGAACACCCTGTAGACCCTTCCCTAAAATAAAAAAAATTTTAAAAAAGTTATTTGATTCTACATTGAAAGATTTTTTCTCAACATTTGAAAGACAAAAAAATTCAATACTTGAAAATGTTCCACTTTCTTCTGATCTCCATAAGTTCTAATGAGAAGTCCACAATTTTCAAACTGTTATTCTCTTACAAATGTAATGCACTGTTTTTCTCTGACTGCTTTCATAATTTTTCTCTCACCTTTGATTTAGAGCATTTGGTCTATAATATGACAAGGTGTATTTTTCCTCATATTCATCTTGTTTGGGGTTTATTGAACTTAATAAATCTGTACTTTATGTTTTTCATTAAATATAGGGGGGTTTCAGGGGCTGGGGAAATAGCTCAGTAGAATAAGTGCTTGCCTGGTAAGCTCAAGCGCTCGAGTTCAATCCCCGGTTCCGCAAAAAAAAAAAAAAAAAATAGGGGTTTCAAACTATTATTTTTTTAGGGCCAGTCAGACAGCTCAGCAGACTAAAGCACCTGCTTAGTTAGGTGGACAAACCAGGGTTCAATCCCCAGCATGCCTTGCTGGCCCCTTACCTGGGGCGCACTGAGACAGGATTGAGACTGGGCATGGTGGCACACACCTATAATCCCAGGGCTTGGGAGGCTGAAAACAGGAGGATCACTATGAGTGTGAGCTCATAGTGAGATCGTGTAGGCCCTGTACTAAATACATAAAAAACAAACAAACTATTATTTTTTCAAGTATTTATTTCCTTTCTTTCTGGGCTTTCAATTACATGGATATTATCTTTTAACATCTTCCCACAAGTTCATGATGCACTTGTTTCACTTTTCAAAACTACTTTCTCTGATCTTCAGATTGTACATTTTGTATTGTTGCATCTTCAAATTCATTGACTCCATCTCACGTATAAGGCCTTCTACTTAAAGTACTACAGTGTTCAGTTGCAAAATTATCATTTAGTCTTTACAAAAATATTTTCTATTCCTCTTTTCTATTTCCTACCTTTTGATTAACTTCACTTGAAGTTTCCTCTCACCTTTCAGAACACTTTTAAAGGCTGCTTTAAAAACTTTACTGGTAATTCTGCATATGGGTTGCCACAAGGTTGGCCTCTACCAGTTACTTTTTTTTTTTACTTATTATTTATGTGAAAGAATTTTAGACAGTATTTTGAGCTTTACACACATTTTATCTCAGAGACTCTGCATTTTGTTGCTTTTGCAAAACAGTATTGAGTTTTTTGTTTTAGTACACAATGCATTTGTTTAAGATCAATTGTTTGGGTCTTAGCTTCAAGCTACTTTGATTCTATTCCATGCATGTGTGGTACAATGGTCAGAGGGAGACTTAGTATCTATACACAGAATGTAAAGAGTTCCTTCACTGCTATGCTCCTTTTTGAGATTCCCTTCCTTACTTTCCAGTAGTTATGGCTGACTCACATGGTCTCTAGGCCAAAAAGATTATGGGTTTTTGTGAGCTTTAGTTTCCTTGCTCTATGATGTAGCTATAGTCTGCCTCAGGCCTAAAGCCTTAAAAATAGGAAACTCATCAAATAACGGAACTTTCTTCCTTGATACAATTTCTCTGCAAAGTCTCCTAACTTTTGTCTACTCTTCATAGTATACAGTAAGTTGCTGTTGTTTGTATTTTGTTCATATTTTATACTGTTATCTGTAGAGTGCTCAGTCTGCTAAGATTTCACTCTGTTACACCACAGGCATAATATCAGAGATACTTTTAGTTTTTCTCAAAAGTTAATTCAATAATACAGGGAGAGTCCCTGGGTACATCTCACCTAGTTTCAGTTCCCTCTAACATTATCCTTATGTTATCATGGCCTATTTGTCAAAAGTAAGGAATACTGGAACTTAACATTGATAAAACGTTTTATTTTAAATTTAAAATTAAAAAAATTATTTTTTATTTATTTAGGCCAGCTCAGCTGCCCTTAGGGTGGGGCTGGCAAGGCATGTAGTGCCAGGGATCGAACTGTGGTCCCCTACACCTGCCTAAGATTGCCTAAACAGGCGCTTTAGACCACTGAGCTATCGCCCTGGCCCAATAAAACTCTTTAATCACACAATTGTCTCTACTAATGTCTTTTTTCGGTTCCAGGAGCCAAAGTAAGATGTTGTATCACACTTTGGTAGTATTTCTCCTTATTGATTGGTTGGTGACACTTTCCCAATCTCCTATTCTCATGTTGTATCTTGATGGTTTTTATGGTTAGCTAGCCTCATAATATTCCTGAATTTGTCAGATATTTTTCTGGACATTATGTTAGTACTAAGAGTTTTTTGAGACTAAAACTAGTACATTAAGGGGTATGTGACCATCAGTGGTGTTACTAACCTTGATTATTTGTTTTAAAAAACACATTTGAACAATAAAATGTATGTAAATAAATGTATGTATAAATGTATGCTTCTACATTTTCCCCAGTAAAAAACAAGTTTCATGGAAATTCTTTGATTAAAAAAACTCATAGTCACCCTCACTTGAAATGGCTTTTTTAAGAATCAGTAACTCTGAGATTAAATAATAGAAAATGCTAAATTTTATAGGTATTTGTTATGAAAAAGAAAACATACAGAGTGTTATAAACACATATTTCCTCCAAATAAGCTCTTAAAATTTTGTAGCAGGCCAACAGAGCAGAATAGAATGTAATGGCATGCATATGCTTTATTAGAAGATTAATGTGTTGGAAAACTTTAGTTACCTGGGTTTAGGCTTATGACCAAGCAGTTTAGTGAGTGGTAGTGGGAAGAGTAGTAGAGTGAAAGGCCTCCTGTGCATGTGATGAACAATAACTCACATGTAAAGCAAATACTGGAACTGGGGCACTGCTGTTCAAAATCACAGATGTGAGCATTTATATATTCATCATCAATCAAAAAGTTCCAACTAAGGAGGTTCAGAATAAAACAACAAATATTCTGTATTTCTACAGGTACCAAATCAGAATCTGACAGACATTTTAGAATTTCATGACACTGACTGTAACTACATAATGAAAAAACCCTTTCCTTAGAAAAATGGTAGCATGAACCAATTACTTAAAATCAATTGGGCTATCTTATAAAAATTGTTTCAGCAAAAGTCTACTTCAGAGATATGAAAAAAGCTAATACATCTCAACAGCTCAATATGTAAAAAAATACTTAGACATTGGAGAGGGAAACACTGGAAGAGAGAGGTTCCGAAAGATCTGACTCTAACCTATGCCCAAATTCCAGAAGTTCTCTTCTTTCCAGTTGTCTCACCAGGACTGCTTTTAAAAGAAAACTTCTTGGGCCAGGGAGATGGCTCAGTAGAATAAACGCTTCCCTGGGAAGTGCAATACTGAGTTCAATCACCGGTTCCACCAAAACAAACAAAAAAACCCTCTGGTCAAATGAAGGTAAGTGACCCCAAGAGTTACCAGTGTTTACCATTAGTGTTCACATATTTTAATCAAAGGGTCTTTAGGTTAAAGATAACAGACACTTTTTTTTTTTGGCTGGGTGTGCCAAAATTTTTTTGAATATGTGTATTAAAATGAGTTATTGACAATATACAGTCAGATAAAGTTTTTTCATTTTAAAAATTGGGGAAACAAAATTTGATGAGAACATAGACATCAGTAGAGTAGCAGCCCTGTAAATATAGACCATTCTATGGTTCTTACCTGAATGTGGCCACAAAGTTCACTGTGGGCCAGCCCAAGACAAACGATTTCATAGCATTGGTGTTGACTTCTCCCACTTCATCCACACAGCTGGCTGTCCACATATCAGTTAATTTTATTTTATTTTTTATCTTAAAATTATTGTTGTATCTAGAGATATAAAAATAAAATAAGACCTCTTGTCACTTTGTATCTTAAATTTTACTAGAGCTTTAGAAAGACCTGTTGTAAGTGGACAGTTCCCACTAGTTATGGGCAAACAATTTACTGCCTCTATCTCCAGTGCCTGGTGCTAGGCTAGGTCCGCATAGCCTAACTCAAAGAAGACTTCTGAGACACTTGTCGTGATATTGAGCCCTCATGCCTGCTACAGCAGCAAATGCCCATGATCTGGTTGCTTCATTTTTCTGTATGCCAAGTGTTACACTACCTTTGGATCAGAAACACAATTTACATTTACTGCTTTATAAAAATGATTTGTAGCATGCTAACTTTCAAAAAGATGAGTGGATGGACATTAAAAATATTTTATTAAGATACTTATAAAACTATCTTATAAGAGATGTACTAAAAACCTTGGAATTAATTAGAAACACTTATAATACACTTTCAACTGAGTGATTATAAGACTTTCTAGCCTTCTGAAGCACTGGTTATTTTAAATTTTCTTATGATTTTGTTCAGCTATTTCTCCTTGTATTCTGGCAAAAACCATGAAGCTAGCCTGGAAACAGAATCTAATCTATAAATGAGGGGGAAAAAGTAGAAGTGTAGTGTCGACATAATTAGCATTAATCTCTGGGGTCTTAGGTGACCTACTTTAAACCTAGCAGTAAAATTGCTTTTTGACAATTTCTACTTGATTTCCCTTAGGGCCCTGATAATGGAAACTACCATATTTTCTGACCTAATTGACAGATTTAATGTTCATGATGGATGGATCTGCCATAAAAAGAGATAGGACAGAGGATGTCCACAGAAGCCCTAGTCTTCCTAGCATTCTAAACCATTTGTGTAAACACTAAAAGCTAGAATGAAAGCAGATGCCTCATATGAAATAGCTCTAAAACTTCTCCAACTGCCTATAGTATTTCAAACCAAAACACTTCAGTGGAATTTACACAATGATAGGGATTTTGTAAGAACTGTACCTAATAGCTAATCTAGAGTCAAAGCTTCATCTATGCTTCCCATGGGGTACACTGACTTTAAGTGTAAGAGAAAAATTCTTTGTGGCACAATGGCTTCTTTCTGTATTTTATTTCAACATTTTAACCCTATCGCTATGAGTTTTTATGAAGCAGACTTGATTAAAGACAAAATCTTTCTTGATGGTAAGTATTTAGGTAACATAAAACTAAAGATACACAGTACAAGTATTTTGGTACAAAAGGGATTTTTCTGTATTTGTTTCATGTACCTTGCATTTTCTACACTTGATTTTAGCCAGTGGGCTGAGAAGCAATGTACCTTGTATTTTCTAAGTGAGGGTTTTTTATATATTAGATACTTTAGGCCTCATGTGAGAATTTCTGTATCTGCTGGCCTAGACAAAAGATTGCTTCCATTCCCCAGATCAACAGTGTCAAGCTTATCTATCCCAGCTGTAAAGAAAATTGAGAGTGCAAAGATATTTCTGTTTTTATATATTAAAAAGAATGGCTAATATTTGAGAACTTACCACTGAGAGCTAGTCATTGTCATAGATACTTCACATATATTATTTAGGTTAATCTCCACACATTTTATACTTACGCAAACGGAGTCACAGAGAGATTAACTCACCAAAAGTTAAATGGCCTAAGTACTACATATAGAGTCTAAATAAAGGTAGGGTTGTTTCCTGAGCTTATTTATGCTCTTAATCATTATGCATCCATAAAAAGCCCCGAAAATTGCCATTTGTATAAAGCCCCTGGGTGGAGTTACCCTTCCTTGCAGTCTCCTTCAGATTTTCTATCTTTAGCCTATATACATTCTCTTTTGTCTCTCCAAAGATATGGGCTTCCAGACAGGAGTGTTTTCTTATTATGAAGTGTGAGAAAAATATCATGAACATATATGTACACGAAGCTAGATGGTATTAGTTTGAAAATACTTAAAATAAGTATGCTAATAAAGCTTTATATTGAAATGTACAGCTCTGGGTCATAGTGTACTACTTCCTAATTTTACTCCCAATTTCTAATAATATTACACATCATACAAATTTAAAAATATGACTCCAGCTTGAACTGGCTCTACCCATATTAGCAGTATTATCTCCAATGGTGTTGTACCAATAGAAATTAAGTACAAATCTAATGTGAACTGGCTGAAAAACCGATATCATAGGAATAATTTGCTTTCCTACCCTCTGGCCTACACTGGAAGGAACACTAGTGAACTACTGAAATACACAATATTAGAAAGACACCACTGTATTCTAAGTTATATTTGTGTTTTAGGGTAAAGATAATATATTCTACAGGTATCTCAATCTCTTTGTTGAGAATACATTAAAATGTTCTTGTTTTTATGATGTTTCCTAACTGGAAAGAATGGGGGAAGGAGTAAGCCCCAGGTACCACCCTTTAGGCTGGTGGCAACTGCACTGGCACTTGGCAGGATGGAACATGACTCTCCTTGGGTACCTCTGAAGTGTTTCCAGCTATATCTATGTCTTCAGCTGGCACTTCTCCAGATAAAGTCCTTAGAATCTTCTGTTGGGACTACTACAATAGCTCAGTCTCCTCGCTTCTACTCTTGTACCCTCCAACCCACTAGCTAACATGAGCAAATCATATTTAAAACATATGAATCACTTTATGGCAATTCTCAACTAAAACCCTATATAATAAAATCGATAAAGCCCCTCCTGATTGGAACCTTTGTGGCTTCATATCTCCAATATGGCTCCCAATGACCCAAACCTCCCTGCTTCTTGATATTTATTTTCTATAGTATCCTTCCCACTGTACCAAGGCTGCCTGTATGGCCAACAGCACACATCAGGAATGATTGGTACATCACCTCCTAAAGATCTCCAAGAGAAGCAAGCTGTGAGCAGCAGTGTACAGACTCATGTGGAGAATTAAAGCCTCTAGCCAACAAGCAGTGAGGAACTGAGGTTGCTGGCCTCCTCGTGAGTGAGCTTGGAAGTGGGTTCTTCAGTCAAACCTCATCAAGGCCCTTAGGCCAGAATGACCTAGCTAAACACTCCCAATTACAGTACACAGACAAACTGCACAAGAAGTTTACAGTTTTAAATGGTTATGTTTTAGAGTAATTATCATACATCTCATCTCCCCAGTGTCTGGATGGTTAGAGCTTTGCATCCTTCAGTGAATTTTTTGCCCCTGACTATGACTACCTAGCATGTTTTGTTTTCTTTCTTTTTTTCATATATGTTAGTGCAGATTGAACTCAGGGCCTCAAATATGTTAAGTAAACTCTACCACTGAGCTACATCCCCAGCCCCTTATATTTTGAGATAGAGTCTCACAAAGTTGTCTGGGCTGGGCTTAAACTTGAGATCCTCTTGCCTCATCCACCCCAGGATCTGTGCTCATAGGCATGTGCCACGGCACCTGGCAAGATGCCCAATCTTTTACTTCATCTAGCACCCTATTTCCTTCATTGTCCTATGTACAGTCTGTAATTTCCCCACACATATATAAAAATGTAAGCCCCTACATTAGACTGTAGGCTGGGAGCAGGGACCAGAACTATCGGATTCTTCACTGTATTTCCTACGTTTATTTAGCGTATGGTACAATCAAGATCTAAACATTTACAGAATGAATAAAATGTTGAAACTTTTTGCATAAATAAGATAAAACGTAAAACTCATTTTACTAATAGAGGCAAGACACTCTTACTAAACAGCACTGAATAGAAAGGGTATCACCGTCAGCAGAAATACAATCGTTAAAGGATAATTAGGAGACAACATGTGGTGTACTTACTTGATTTTCACTACAACAAGCAGGTCACTGAATAGGAAGAGGTGCCGCTCCTGCCTCTGCAGGCCCCTTTTGAGCTCTACCCGGCCGTCAATCAGCAGGGTGCGGCTAGAGCACATAAACGATGACAGAAACACACAAGAGTCAACACCAGCAGAAGGACTTTCCCTGTGACAAACCAAATGCCACACATCAGCCAAATGATCAACTGTATCACTAATGTTTTCAAAAATAAAAATTACAGCTCATGGTTGGTCAAGAAACAGAAAACTTTAACTTTCTAAATCCAATTCCCTAGTAATTTTACTGACTTCCCAGCCTATTCTTCACATAATAGTCTTTAAACTTCATTATGCAATTTTTTAAACAAAGTTGAGAGCTTTATACTAAAAGCACAAGTTTACCCTACACATCCTAGTTTCTTATAACTGAAATTTTACTACATTGGCTCCATAAGTCAAAACCAACTATCTACCCTTCTATTTGTCATTATTTTATTTTTGCATTTTAATAGTAATTGCTTAAACAATTAACACTTCAGCATATATGTTAATAACTAGAACACAAACTTTAATTAGACTTTTTCTCTGATATAAAATACACAATAAAATACTTGAATCTTAAGTGTGATATTCATTGAATTTTGACACATGTATTCCATTGTGTAATCTACACTTTTGGGACCGGGCAGATGGTTCAGTGGAATAAGCGCTTCCCTGGCAAACGCAAGGGCCTGAGTTCAATCCTCGGTTCCGCAAAAAAAAAAAAAAAAAAAAAAAAAAAATTCTACACTTTCACTAAGGTATACAAAATTATCATCACACCAAAGTATTCCCTCCTTTCCATTTTTGGATGCTATATACATCAGCTCAAGATGATATCCAGGGTATTTATCCTTAGGTTGTTTATTTCTTCATTGCAAACAAAAGCTTGTTAATGCCAAGTTCAAAGTTTTATATGCCCAAAGATGTAGTAGTAGTCCACCCAAGGAGATCTCGCCAGCATTAGCCTGTCCACTGTGTGCCTGCGGCATCCGCTGTGTGGCTCCGAGGGCACAGCTGCACCATGGTGTGCTCTCTGGACCCCACTAACCTGCCCTTTCCCGGGGCTGGGGCCTGGTGTTCAATGCCCTACTTATTGTTCTTATGGTGGCTCCTTGCTACAGGCATCTAAACAGTCCTGTGCTGTGAGGATTTTCTTTTTTCTCCCTCAGTACTGGGAGTTCAACCTAAGCCTCCATACTGATCTATTACTATACTCCCCCATAGAAGAGATAAAAATTTTTTTCCCCATTTTGAAACAAGGTCTTGCTAAGTAACTGTTGCTTAGGCCAGGCTCAAACTTGTGATGTTCCCCCGCAGCTTCCCTCAGTAGAGGGATGACACATGGGTATCCCCACACCTGACAGCATTTCCACTCTTATACAACTAGTCCCACAATCGATCTCTGTTCTTCGCCAGTGCCGTATCTCCCAAACTCCTTCTACCGGGCAATTTCCACTCCATCACTCCAGAAGCAACTGCTAGTATGATTTTTCTCCTTTGTCAGAAACCTGAAGGTTGGTTTTACTTGTTACAATTTTATACACGATACCTAACTGTGTATTCTTTTGTGCAAGATACTTTTAATTACCATGTTTTTGGGATTCATTTAAATTTGTAAGTAATACACTAGAAGATTTTACTAAATAGTATCCATGGTATAGATATACTAGGTTTATATTTCTGCTATCAATGAACTGACTTCTGGAGGTTTTTCCTTTTTTTTTTTTTTTTTTTTTTTTGGCAGAACCAGGGATTGAACTCAGGCCCCTGTACTTGCAATAAATCTGTTTCTAAAGGTCATTTTATGGACTATGCTTTTACGTTTCTCAGGTAGTTTAAATCAGAATGTAATTGTTGGGTCACAGAGTAGGTGTATGTTTAATTTTAGAAAACAACTACCAGTTTTCCAGTGTGCTTACCGGTTTTATATTCCCAGAAATATTACAGGAAAGTTTCAGTCACTCTACAAACTTTAGCAGTGTACGTAATGCTGTCTTTTTTTTTTTTTTTCTTTTTTTGAGACAGGGTCTTGCTGTGTAGTTCTGGCTGGCCTTGAGTTCATTATGTAGCACAGGCTGGCCTGGAACTCACGGCAATCCTCTTGCCTTGGGCTTCCAAGTGTTTGTATGATAGGCGTGCACCACAATACCTGGCCAGTCTTTGGAATTTTAGCCAACTTAGATATATATCTGTATCTCACTAAGAACTTCCATTCACATGATGAGTCGTCACATGGCTTTATTGGCCACCTGTGTATCTTCTTTTGTGAATAAGCTGTTTTCAAGTCTTTTGCACAGTTTTTTTTAAAAAGGTTGTCTTTTCATTATTTAATTATAGAATATTTATGTAGCCTGGGTACCAGTCCTCTATCAGATATGTTTTGACTGTTCCTTGTTTATACACCTTCATTATGTTTTTTTACTGAAAGCTTATAATTTTGATGAAGTCTAATTAAAAATTTTTAGTATGGTTTGGCTCTAAAAAAACTTAGCCATGAAGTTATTCTTCTACATTGCTCATAAACATACACATAATTTTCAGGTTTTACACTTACGGCTACAATTCATCTCTAATTCTGGTTATAATATAAGGCAGTGGCTGCAGTTAATTTCATGTTTCTATCTGCATACATCATTATTAAAGCATCATTTGCACAATAATGTTCAGTAGTAGGCAAGTATCTAGCACTTAGAAAAAATGTCAAGAGTAAAGGTGCTTTGACATCTTTGTTAAAAATCAAATGACCCTAAGACATAGATCTTTTCCTAGGATATCTATTCTGCTGAACTTGGCTACTTGTTCATTCTATGTTAGAATTGTGCTCTGTTTCTCTTTCCAGTAAATCATGAAAGTAGGTAGTACAACTCCACAAACTTATTTTTCCTTTAGACTTCTTTGGATAATCTAGGCCTTTTGTACTTCCAAATAAATTGTAAAGATTAACAAAGAGGAATAAAAAGGAGGAAGAAGTCTACTGTGATTGCAGAAGAAAAAATGATCCTAGTCTCTAGTGTCTTTTTTTTTAAATTTATTACCCATTTTTTTTTAAACAGAACAACTTTTACTTGTGAGACAGTATGGTAATAATTGGTATGTCATGACAAGAAGTATGTATTCAGAAGACCAGAATGACAGGCATTCCAAGTGTGACCCTTCTATTACACATTGCTATCCTCAGTGCAGTTGCTTGGTTCACAGGTACCAGCATATATAGTTAGTCAGGGTGAGAATCCTACCAATTAACTGCTAGTTTCAAAAACTTGATGATGTTTCTCAGGATCATTGCCTTGCCCATCTTGTGCATACAAATGTATGGCTTTGTCCCTGTCCTGTTTCCCAGCTTTTCTCCGTACCCTCTCCTCGTGTCCAGTCCTCAAGTTCTCACTTTCCTTTTAGTTGTGTTACACCTTTCTATTTGCATCTCTTCTTTTGATTTCTTAAATTAGGGAGAATATATATACTGACTCTGGAATTATCTGAGGCTAGATGGCATAAGGGGATCGGGTATGTACCTAGCACTCCAAGAGACATGAGAAGTAGATACACAGATTTGGTAATCACATAGAGATGGATAAGTAATAATAAAAGAATGGCCAGAAATTTTCAGGGAAGGAGCCTGTGGTAGTTGATGCACTGTGTCAAATTGGCTGAATCACGTCCACCAGTTCCAGTCATGGGGGCCCAGCCCTGCAGGTGGTTCCACCTTAGGGCCATGGGCCACCTCAGAGTGACCCAGCACAAAAAGTACCGAGGAGTTGAGGAAGGCTTCCTGACTGCCCTGCCCTGCTTCTCCTTGGAGAAGTCCCAGTCTTCAGAGGCGCTAGATCTTCGAAGCCACACCACTTCTTTGCAGTGGAGCGCCAGTCTTTACAGTCAGCAAAGAAAGCAGAGAGAGGCTTGATGGACGCTGCAGCTATTGCTCCTCCTCTGCTCTTCATTGTTTCGTCTGCCATGAACTGCTGTCGTTTGCCTTGGAGCCAGCGGAGTATGAACTGAAACCTCCACAAACTGTGAGCTAAATAAACCTTTCCTTCCTTCATTTCGAGTGTATGGCAAGGTAGGGTCCAAGAAGATGTCTGTGAGAAAAAAGACCTTCTGGGGAACAAATCCAGGAAAATAGTGAAGGCAGAACTCAAATATCCTGGGGCATGAAGAATAGAAGAACAAAAAATAAAAAACCTGAAAACAGTAACTGGTTTCTTTTTAAGAGGTCAACACCTTCCAGAAGCTGACAGTAAGGATTTTAAGAGGGTGGTTGCTAGAGCTGGTAAGGAACTAAAAGTAAAAGAGAAATTATCAGCTTTGAAGATAAGTGTGTGCTATTATTCCTCATTTTACAGACCTGAAGCTATTAACAGTGGTCAAATATACTGTTATCACATGAAAATGATTTACAGTAATTGAAGTTTTATAATATATACTTACATAAAAAATTACAGGTAGTGTTTCTCTTTCTTTCTTTCTTTCTTTCTTTCTTTCTTTCTTTCTTTCTTTCTTTCTTTCTTTTTTTTCCTGGAACTGGGGATTGAACTCAGGCCTTTGTGCTTGCCAGGGAAGCACTTATTCTACTGAGCCATCTCCCTGGCTCCCATGTAGTCTTTTAAATGGGCAAGCACTTAATGTAGTCAGTTCTCTCTTCTACTGTGATTACTGAGCTCAACAGTCAAGGACTCCATGTCTTGGGGGAGAGGGGCCAACCTAATCCTTGTGCTCAGTAGCATTAGGTGGCAAGTCATGCAGTAGCCTCAGTTTCCTTGTCTCTAAAGGTAGTTGGACAGGACTATAAAATCTTTAAGTTTCTTTAATAATATATTTATGTGACTGACTATAACAATATGTACCTATTAGAAATTAGACGAGAGGAATATGGAAACCATTAAGTATCTCTATGAACTCTATCATAATGTACTGTTGATAAACAAAGCAGACTTGAGAATCATCCCAAAACAATAATCTAGAGATCCAGTCCTAGCAAAGGCCCGGTGAGTGTGTGGGAGACTTCCGACTATCCTGCGCCAGAGGGACCTACTTACTGGTCCCAGCCCAGACACAGCATGGGTGAGACACTCTACCACCCCCTTTGGGGCCCCCAATACTCCACAGCACCCCCCACCCGCCATGTGA